TACGACGCTCCAAGAGCCTTGAAATGTTACAACTTGCAACTCTCTCCATGGGAGAAAGGCCAGTTCCCGGGAAAAGGCCAGTTCCCACCACACAGAAAGCAGCCTTGTATTTCTTTTTTGTGCTGGTGGCTGTAGGTCAATGGAGCGGCCAAACATGGCTGTACTCATGTCAAGACAATTACATACTTGAAAGTTGCTAAGAGAGTAGATTTTAAAAGCTCTCACCACAAGAAAAAAAATTGTAACTATGTGTGGTGATGGATGTTAACTAGACTTATTGTGGTAATCATTTCACAATACATACAAATATCGAATCAATATGTTGTACACATGAAACTAATGTAACATATCAATTATACCACAATAAAAAAAAGGAATAAAAGTGTATAGATTTAAAAAAAAAGAAATTCAGTAACATTTTTGTTTGAATTTACTTGCTATCAGTTTTAAAGTGCTTGGGCACTCACCTTTTCATTTTAATAATGTTTCATAGTAAAATGAAGTTTCTCAGTGGAAAAGCTTGGCAATGACTGGGTATGAAGAGTGCTTGATGAATGGGGAAAGAATGAATAAATATCCACTAGAACTTGCTTTTGAAAACAACTTGCAACATTTCCTTAACATTTGATTCAATTACTGTCTTTTTTTTTTAAACATAATTATACACTTGGAGAAAGTTAGTAAGAATCGTACCAAGATTGCTGTGATACTTTTCCCTCAGATTCCCAAAAAAATATTTTACTACTTTTCCTTATTTGCTTTATTCTCTCTCTTATATACACTTTTTCTGAATTGTTTAAAAGAAAGTTCCAACATGATATCTCGTTCTATACTTCTATGTGTTTTTTTCTCACACATAACCACAGTACAAGTATCAAAATCAGGAAATTAGCATGGGTACAATACTATTTCTTAATCTATATACCTTATTCATATCTCATCAGTTGTCCCAATAATGTCCTGTTTAACAAAAGAAAATCTAAGATTATGTGGTGGATTCAGTTGCCATGTCTCTTTAGTCTCCTTTAAACCGGAACTGTTCCTCAGTCTGTCTTTGTGTTTCATGACACTCATATTTTGGAAGAGTGCAGGCCAGTTATTTTATAGACTGTCCTTCAATTTGAGTTTGCTGATGTTTTCTCATTCAGGTTAAACACTTTTAGCAGAAATACTAAAGTGATGCTGAGCTCTCACTGCATTATACAAGGAAATAGAAGCTGTCAATTGGTCCCATTACTGTCAATGTTAACAATTATTTGGCTATTTCTCTACTGTAAAGCTACTATTTTACTCTTTATAATGAATAAGTATCCTGCAGGTAGATACTTTGAGATGATGTAAATATTCTATACTCCTCAAACTTTCACCCATATTTTTACCATCCATTGATGATTCTTGTCTGAATCACTTATTATTATAGTGATTACAAATGGTAATTACTACTTCCATTATTCCTTTTACATTTATTAGCTGGCTTTCTACAGTATCAAAGAGCTTTTTTCACTCCCCATTTATTTGTTGTTCTTGTTTTGTAATTTATATTAGCATGGATTCATGGATTCTTACTTTATTCAATAGTTTATCATTCGTTTTTATCAGTTTTTTTGTTTGTTTTTAATTTTCATGCTTAAACTAGCCCAGATTTAGCCAGCAGGAGCTCTTTCAAGCTTCGCTCCTGGGTTCTTTTGACATGCTCCATCCTTCTTTGAGCACTTCCCAACTTTTTGGCACAAACTGTTCCAAGCACATACTATACTTTGCCTGTCCCAGCCTTGGGATCACTCACTTCTCCAATGAGCTCTGGTCCTTTTTGGTAGAGAATGGTATTCAGAAAACAATATCTGGGTACCAGAGTGTTGGATGTGCTCATTGCTACTAGGATGTTCCTAGGCTGTCTCAGCAGACAGCTGGAAAATAAATATACGTATACACATACACACAAACACACAAATATATACACACACACAGAGAGAGAGATTTTCCCTACTCTTTTTTTAAAGCTATATAGCACTCCATTGTGTGGTCTACCACAGTTTACTCAGGTACTGTTCTATGAATTCGTAGATTGAATTACTGTCAATGTTTTTCAACTGCAAACAATGCAGTGTTTCAACTGAAACAATGCAGAATAACCTTATGCATATGTATATTCATACAATGGAGGTAGGGGTGTATCTTCAGGGTAAACTCCTAGATGTTGGATTGCCGGGTCAAAGGTAAATGCAGGGCCGGCCCCATGGCTTAGCAGTTACGTGCGCGCGCTCCGCTGCTGGTGGCCCGGGTTCGGATCCCGGGCGCGCACCCACACACCGCTTCTCCAGCCATGCTGAGGCAGCGTCCCACATACAGCAACTAGAAGGATGTGCAGCTATGACATACAACTGTCTACTGGGGCTTTGGGGGAAAATAAATAAATAAACAAAATTTAAAAAAATAAAGAAATCGTATATATACACAATGTAATACTACTCAGCCATAAGAAATGATGAAATCCAGCCATTTGTGACAACATGGATGGACATTGAGGGTATTATGCAAAGTGAAATAAGTCAGAGGGAGAAGGTCAAATACCATATGATTTCCTTCATAAAGTAGTAGATAATAACAACAATAAACAAACACATAGAGACAGAGATTGGATTGGTGGTTACCAGAGGGGAAGAGGGGAGGGAGAAGGGCGAAAGGGATAATTCGGCACATGTGGGTGGTGATGGGTTGTAATTAGTATTTGGGTGGTGAACATGATGTAATCTGTGCAGAAATAGAAGTATAATGATGTACACCTGAAATTTATACAATGTTATAAACCAATGTTACTGCAATAAAAAAAAATTTTTTTTAAATAAAATAAAATAAAGTTACCTACATAATGGGAAAAAAAAACAAAGGTAAATGCATATGCAGTTATGCTAGTAATTGCCAAATTCTCCTCCATAATGGTTGCACCAATTTGCATTCCCATTAGCAATGTATGGGAGCCTCTGTTTCCCCACAGCCATGCATGAGAATGTGTTGCTATTCTTTTTAATTTTTGCTAATTTTGATAGTGAAAAATCGCATTTCATTGTCACCTTAACTGGCTTTTCTCTTATTATGAGTGAGGCTGAACATCTTTTCATGTGCTTAATGGCTACTGTTATATCTTTTTTGTGAACTGTCTGTTCATGTCCTTTGACCATTTTATTGAGGTTTTCTGTCTTAAAAATAAAATTTAAATATATAATTTGGGTGCACATTCTAAATACCAGATATAGTTTTAGGTGCTACAGATATAACAACAAACTAAATCATTTCAAGAAGTTGTCAGCACAATTGTATCTGAAATTGAAATACATACAAGGTTTAAATCTTTGGTTGATGATTGTTCTGCAAGATTGAAATAAGTTCAAAAAAATCCAAAATCCTAGAGATTCATTTACATTACCCAAACACATTTTAAGTAAAGATCCAATTAAACTTTTCATAGAAATGCCTAAAGGATAATATCAAGGAGCTTAGCAGTTGCTTTGGTCAACAACATGTTAGAAGGCTAGCAGATTACAGAAGAGAACACTTTCAAGAAAACATGCAAATACTGTTAGAAAAAAAGTAAAAATTTTTTTATTTTTTTATTTTCTCCCATAGTTATACATCTTCAGGATGATCCATTTGGCAGACAGCTCTGGACAGACAGGAGGTTTCTCTCAATGTGTAACACACTGCAGTTTTCCACAATGGTGGCATCAAGCCTTTTATAACTTTTTCACCTTCAGCTGCCTCTTCATCATCCCTCTTCTCATCATGCTGATCTGTAATGCAAAGATCATCTTCACCCTGACACAGGTCCTTCATCAGGATCCCCACAGTGCGTATTCCTTAGATTTGGTGTTAATTGTGGGTAAACAGTTTTTACACAGCAATACTCAAAGCAGAGCCTCACTATGTGCCAGATATCGTTCTAAGCAGTTTACATATATTAATTCATTTAATATTCACAATCACCCCATGAGGTAATACCTTTATTACACCTTTATTACCCCCAATTTACAGATACTGTAATTTAGCATCTCATAATGTTCTAAATTTGCACCAGGGAATTAAAGATGAAAGGACAATTACCCCATTTACCTAGTATAAATATTTGCAAATTGTTCCTGCAGGGCCCATCACAATACTATACCCAATACCTGATTTCTAGAATATAGGCAAGTACAACTTGTTAAATAGTAGCCAGTAGATGTATTAAAGTTAAGCTGCTCTGTTTCACATCCAAATCCCCTATATCCACACAACATAACTATGCACATTTGTGTGTGTGTGTGTGTGTGTGTGTGTTGGGTATGCAAAATATTATTGAATATGTAATTGACAATTTCATCTGAAGCTTCACAGATGTGGTTGTGCCTTTTTTGCTTCAGTAATCTGGTGCATTCTCAAAAACTAAAATTTGTGAATTTACAATGTAAACATGGTTATGTTGCCATGACATCCTAAAGAATGTTATCAACAGCATAGTGCATAAGTTATACCTGATACAACTTAATAGGAAAATCATCTTAATTATTATGGTGTGATTACTCTCAAGAGATATTTTCAAAAGGAAATAATTACACTGATGCTTTATAATAGATACTTGGGCAGTTTCCACCTGCCAGCACAAAATGGTATTTAGTATTTCCTAAAAAGTATACTGCAAAAACAATTTGCCTTCAAAATCTTATCCTAGAGAAATTCAGCTCTATAAGGGATATCTAAGAAGAGCACATGGAGAATAAGGAGATAGATCCCAAATAGGGATTAATCTGAAGAAATGTGAGCCACGCAGAAGCAGAAAAACAAAAAAGCAGAGGCAAGGAGCAACAGTTAAATATTACTAACACAAATTTAGTCATTTAATCTCTTATTTATTCAGGCAATATGTACTGACTTCTCAATACTGCTGGAAATAGATAGATTAGGGTGATTGATAGAATAGATGTGGATACCATGGTGAATAAAACAGCCTAATAACTATCCTGCTTTCATGGAGTCTATAGTCTAGCAGAAAAGTCAGAGAGTAAACAGTAAACCAATAATGAAATGTGATAATATTTCAAAAGAGGTAGAAGCACAGTATGTTGTAAGAGGTTCAATATTTTTTGAGATTCAGCCACTGTGCTAAGCCAAGATGTTTGTTTGTTTTTTTTGAGGAAGATTGGCCCTGAGCTAACATCTGTTGCCAGTCTTCCTCTTTTTCTTTTTTCTCCCCAAAGCCCCAGTACATATTTGTATATCTTAGTTGTAGCTCCTCCTAGTTCTTCTATGTGGGATGCCGCCTGAGCAGGCTTGATGAGCAGTGAGTAGGTCACACCCAGGATCCGAACTGGCAAACCCAGGCCGTCGAAGCAGAACGCGCAAACCCAAGCGCTACGCCGCCAGGCTGGCCCCCCAAGATGCTTTTTGAAGTGTGTTCATTGCTATTGATTGCTTTATTACTTATGTTACTAATGTTTACAGATATTGAGGATTAGATGAAATAATGTGTGAAAAGAACAAGGCCCACAGCAAGGCACACAGTAAATGGTAATTAGGTTTGTATGACAAAAAATCCATAACCAGTCTGTATTCAATAAATTATTTAACATTTCTAGTGAAAATTTAATTTTATATTAAAACATCATGCATGTAAATGTTTTCCTCCATATTTCCACTCTTTGATGATAAATGAATAAGTTGCAAAATGACTATTTCTGAATAGCATTATCTCTCCCTCAAAAAAACATAGTATGTGAACAGTATTTTTTTATTTTAAAATAGCAGTTCTGGATTATGAAAAACAAGAACGGATTTTGAGTACTTTAAAACTGCAGCTTTTTACTTTTAAGAACTAAGTCGTAAACTTCACGTAGGCAGCCTATTAAAGTCAGCAATTTCATTAAATTCCAGGGAATTTCCTCACAAGGGAAACAACCTGTGAACTTTAAAGGATGTATTAATATGAAAAGTGAAATGTTTTTGGATATCACAGACAAAAGCACATGATTGAGAAAGATAATTTTGGGCAGCACACTTTCAACCATGCACGATTCTCATTACCTTACTGTCAGAGATATTCAGATAGTGAGTATGCAGGAGTTCTGTGTAAACTCAGAATTCAGCTCAGGTAAACCTCAGTCTACTCTCTTAAATTTATATTTTAAGAGTTTGAGTATCTCCATATTTCAAATCCAAATTACTTTGGTGGAAACTTAACTTTAAGAGTACTATATCTTTAATCTTTTCTACTTATTATGTGACATGGTAGAAAACTTGGAATATAAACATGCTGTTCAAACAAATTATTATTAAAAACATTGGAAATTTGCTCTGATTATATTTTTTTAGTTTGAATTAGTGATTCTCCCTTCTTTTTTGTCCATTTTGGTTTTGTAACAAAACTGGTGTTTAAACACCTACTCTTTTCTGTCTCTAATAGAACTACAACTGAATCAATCCAAGAACAATATACCAAGAGCTCGGCTGAGGACCCTAAAGATGACGGTTGCATTTGCCACTTCATTTACTGTCTGCTGGACTCCCTACTATGCCCTAGGAATTTGGTATTGGTTTGATCCTGAAATGTTAAACAGGGTGTCAGATCCAGTAAATCACTTCTTCTTTCTCTTTGCTTTTTTAAATCCATGCCTTGATCCACTTATATATGGATATTTCTCTCTGTAATTGATAGAGTACAGACAGACTTACTTCTTCATGTAAGGAAGAGCAAGGTAATGAATTTCCCCATATAGGAATGATAAACACAAAGGCTGCAGCGTATTTGAAACAAAGCAGAGTTTAAGGTTATATTATCATTTTTATTCTTTTAGAAATCACATTGTCAGAGACTCAAATACAACTTAAAAAAAAACTTCAGGAAAAATAATGAAATATTTCCCCACAATCATAAGCTTCTAAATTAATCTGCCAACTTCTGAGCTCCTATAACACATTATACGGGTTTCTTATCACTTTCTCCATGTATAATAATGTATAAATATTTAAAGTAGCCATGGCCTAAGGCAAAGAGATTCCAAAAAGTAAGGCTGAGAAACCACAACACAGTCTTGACCTAGGCATGCCTTGGAGGGTTTTTTCCAAGGAGCTTAGCAGCAATTACAATCTTATGCTACAATAATACATAGGCACAGAGACAGTATTCCCCCTGTCAGTAAAATCAGTTTCCCTCCTGTGGTTAAAAAAAAAAAAAAGGATGCAATAAATCTAATTTTTTCTTTGGCTTCAAAAGCATTCTGATGTTTGGAATATTCAGCAACCAACCCACCATCCACTCCACCAACCTGACAAGACATAAGTAGTTCTCCTTCATTCCATTCCTTACATGGTAAGGTTGTGAAATGCCTGCATATAAAGGGGAGTTTTAGAAGGGTTAGAATTTGGACAGGGGGTTAGAACATTCCTGTCGGCTGTACAGTCTATGGAGTTTGTGGTAATTAACTGTAGTAATAATAACGTTGCTTTTAAATACAATCAAGAAAAGATTTATATTGATTAGGTTTTACACATAATATACTCTGTTTTAATATGAGAGATTTTTTCTATCTTCTGATTTTACTAAAGCCGTAATCCACAAATCACTGAGAAAAATAAATAAGAAAACAAGCAAATACACAGGTGAAAAGATATTTGAGTAGTAGATAATAACAACAATAAAGAAACACATAGGGACAGAGATTGGATTGGTGGTTACCAGAGGGGAAGGGGGGAGGGAGGAGGGTGAAAGGGATAATTCAGTACATGTGTGGTGATGGGTTGTAATTGGTATTTTGGTGGTGAACATGATGTAGTCCGTGCAGAAATTGAAGTACAATGATGTACACCTGAAATTTTTACAATGTTATAAACCAATGTTACTGCAATAAACAAAAAATTTATATAAAAAAAAAAAAAAGAAAAAAATAAAGTTAACAGAAAATAATATTTATCTCAAGAACATGCTGTAAATGGTCACAAAAAAAACCTCAGGTAGAGTAATTACTGCTTTTTTTACTCGCAGAGAACCCTTTTCTCTAAAATCATAGATTGTCAAAAAATCCTGCTCTTTGAAATTCTTTCACTAAGATTGAAATATCTTACTCTTGGCTAGAAGATCTAAGTCACTTTGACATAGAGAAACAGCCTTAACTTCCAACCCAGGGGCAGAACTTCAAAAAAGGGGTTTATGGACACATTCCACATCTATTTTAACTTTGGAGTTTCCAAGAAAACAGCACCCTGGGTCCACGTTGCAGTCCAGACCTAATGTAGACACCTTACATACAGCCCTACTTTCTTTTGAGCCTATGAAAACACTACTTCATTTTAATTTCTTCTAAACTCCACACTTCCTCAAATTCCTATAATAAATCTATCTTTTCCTTTCTTGGGTGAGGCACTCCATGATTCTTCTGGAACATGGACTCTCTCTTTGCAATGAGCCAGAAACCTGACTTTCATGAAATATAGTTTTTTTTCTGAAGGACTTAGGCTTATTGAACTAGGAAGCCTGCCTCATACTAAAAGTTCAGGAACATTAATTTCACATAAAAATAAGGGACAAAAAAGTATCAAGTTCAAATCCTATACAAAGTTATTTCAAAAAAAGAGAATAAGGGGGCCAGCCCCATGGCGTGGCAGTTAAGTGTGCATGCTCCACTGCTGGTGGCCCGGGTTCGGATCCCGGGCGC